ACATCTCGATGTCGAGATGATCAATCAAAGGGTTTTTCAACATTAAAACTCCCTTTTCCGATGGATTTTTTAGGGCCATCCGTAGTTCTACATTATAAGATAGCATCTTTATATAAACTTTTTTCTTTACAAGATATGGTACTATTTTCCATAAAAGGAGAAAAACATATTATTCCAAGAATATCGCCATCATTAAAAATGAGATCAAGCAAAATTAAATAAAGCAATCCCTCTCTTTCAAAAATTATAAGAAGACTGCTCAAATTGGAAGAAGCCCATGAAAAATATGAGCTTGTCAAACAAATAAGAGGATTTGCCTTTGGAACTTAACTTCTTAGATAACTACTATTAAAAATATTATTGAAAAATTACATAAATGTTGTGTTGAGCAACCTTTAGAAAAATGGGACAAAGATTTACCTGTGGCTCATATTTCTACTATTCATAATATACCAGTTCAAAATAAGCCTATTCGAATAAATAAGGAAGATGAAGACGAGCTAAATAATCAAATTAAAGAGTTGGTAGAAAAGGGTTTAATTAGGCCATCGCAGTCAAATTATTCACATGCAACATTTATTGTGAGAAATCACAGAGAAGAAAAAAGAGAAAAAGCCAGAATAGTGATAAATTACATTCGTCTTAATAATGTTATCGTGGATACTAAATGGCCTTTACCCAATAAAGAAAAATTGATATAGAGGGTAGCAGAAAAGAAAATATTTTCAAAATTGGATTACAAATCAAGTTATCATCAGATCAAGATAAGAGAAGAAGATATCCACAAGACAACTTTTCCTACTCTTGAAGAATTATTTGAATGGCTGGTCATGCCATTGGGCCTGAAAAATGCTCTATCACAGTTCCAAAGGAAGATGGATTTCATCTTCAAACCATATATAAAGTTTATTGCTAACTATATAGATAATTTTCTCGTTTTCTCTGGCAAGGTGTAGGAGAATATACAATATCTCAAAGTATTTGCTCAGTTAGTATAAAATCATGACATTCGTTTATCTGCTTCAAAAGATAAATTCAAGTTGCTCTAAATACAATTGATTTCATTAGAGTTCAACTATCAGATAGAAAAAAAAATGCAGCCTCTTGTTATTCAGAAAATTAAATTCAAGTTGCTCTAAATACAATTGATTTCATTAGAGTTCAACTATCAGATAGAAAAAAAAATGCAGCCTCTTGTTATTCATAAAATCAATAAATTCCTTGATCAGCTCCAAGACAAGCTACAATGCCAGAGATTCCTTGATTGTATAAATTATGTTCGAGATTTTATTCCAGCATTACAAAAAAAAAATATGCTTGCATGAAGAAGGAGCCATTCACATGGAATGGGAAGGTAGGGGAAGTAATAAAGTTAAAGTCCTTAACCCAAAATCTTCCTCATTTAAGTCCTGCTTATCGATGTCTTTTTATTCTTAGTACAAATGCTTCTTCAGAAACCTGGGCAGCTGTACAATTGAAAAAAGAAGAAAACGATGAAAAATTTGTACTTATACGCTTGGGCAATTCGAAAATCACAAATTAAATTACTAGCCTGCTGAGAAAGAAAATTTGGCTGCAATAAAGGGATTAGAGAAATTTTATCCTTATTCAATTGGAGAAGAATTTATTTTAAGAACTGACTTTATCAATTTGGTTAGTTTATTAAAGAAAAAATTAATATCTAATAAAAAATTACAGAGATATGCCTGGTAGCAATTTTTACTGTCACAGTACACTTTTTCAATTGAAAGGATAGCATGCAAAGATCATAGTATTCCGGATGCATTAACAAGAGAAATTAAAATGATAAGAATAATTAACAGCCTTCCGGATGCATTAACAAGAGAAATTAATAGGATAAGGATGATTATTTTCAAAAAAGAAAAAAAAAAAAAAAAAAAGCTCTAGTTCAGAACTTTGATGTCATCCTCTAAATATTAGACTAGCTCGGTACAACTTTGGGACGTTATGTTTCCTGACGTACAATTCTCATAAATTGAGTACCTTAAAGTGTAAATGGCTAGTATACTCCTGCAGCAGAGCATAAAATCTTTTGACCTCGCCACCAAGGACTTTCAATATCTACCGCAGAGGCGGCTGATAAATCAACTAAAACCCAGCACCGTCCAAGAAGAGTGCGAAAAAAGTGTCCACCGTCCTTCCTGCGAAACATTTATTTGTAGAGAGAGAGAAAATTTTAGAGAGAGAGAGAGGAAGAAATGTGTCCTTCCTATGAAGCTTTAGCAGGCCATTTTTCAAATTTTCAAAGTCATTTTCTATTCCAAATAAAGAAACTTCTAGGGGCGGGCCACCAGATGGTTCAATTTTTTTAGAGAGAGAGGCACAATTTTTCTAGAGAGAGAATGACACTTTTCATGGCTTGCCTGCACATTTCTTCTACTCCCCTTTGTATGAGACTTTGCTCCACCTTTTCTACTTTACATGTACTTAAAGTGAAATCTAACAGCTCATATATTAAAGGGAAAAGTCTATATACAGCTCAGGCTCCAAACAATCAAATTAAAGCCTATCTCAAAAATTTCATTAGAAGATGTTGTTTTGATGTTTAAATATTATCAAATTGATCATCTCGACATCAAGGTACATAAACATGAGAAAAAAATAGATTTTAAGTTTTGAAAATAAAATATTTTGTGACGCATTTTTGGACTGTCAAATTTTAAAATTTTCAAGTTTTTATAAATCTGTCCATCTACGTTATTTTTGAAAGATTAAACTTTATAAATAAATAAAAAAATATATTTTAAATAAATATAAAAATATATTTTAAATGATGCACCGCATTCTCCGCTTTACATATTCATCAAAGAAGATACGGTACATGAATAACTGCCCCTTTCAAAATGTAAGAGTGAAGTGTCCTAAATTCTAAAAAATGCCCCTTTCAAAATGTTCAATGAATTGAAGAGAAGTGTCCTTAATTTCTAAAAAATGTCCCTTCCAAAATGTTCAATGAATTGAAGAGAAGTGTCCTCAAGTCTAAAATGCCAAGAGCTGTGCTCTGCAGTTATTTTGATTTTTCAAGAGAAGTCCTGATATAGCACTAAAACTCCCACATTTCTTTCGAAATACAAACACTACAAGGGCTAGTAATGGGGCCAAGCCCGACCCTTAAAAACTAGGGCTTGGGCCACAAAATGTTGTCCAAGGGCTGGGCTAGACTAAGTGCCATCTCAATTCGGCCCTCCTTTTTCATTTTTTTTTACTTTTTCTTAGCCCGGTTTTTTAACTTTTTCTTAGCCCGGCCCTATATAGGTAAGGGC